TAAAATCTAATTTTTATTAAAAATTAAAATCCGAATTAAAAATCTAAAATCTAATTTTTATTAAAAATTAAAATCCGAATTAAAAATCTAAAATCTTATCTAATCTAATTCTAATTTTTAATCCCAATTTTTAAGTTAAAAAATTCACAACTCTGGCTACCACACACCTTTTATTTTGCAAAAATACGAATACGCTTGTTTACACTGTTTTTAATATAATGAGACTGAGCGAAGTTAGAAACAATTGATTAAAATATTTAAAATTAGATTTTATAAAATTATTTAGGGAGACTAAATTATATTATACTTATCTCAAAACATATACATATGCCTGTTTTTATAAGAAAGGTAAAAATGTGGAAGGAAATTAAGAAAGCTAAAGAATTTTATATACTCTTATAAATTATTTAAAAAAACCTCCAATGATGCTATACATAACATTATACCGCTTTTAATCAATAATTTACCATATTATTTATTATAACTCAATTTTTTCTCTTATAAACTACATAATGCACGTATAAATGTAAATCTGTAATAACACCCTTCCGGCATTACATTTTCATAAACCCCAAACCAAACAAGAAAGAAGTAAGGAAGTTCTAAGTTCGGGTGTAACCGAACATTTTATACTCTCGCAACTTGCAAGGATCAAAGCCCGGGAAATTACTTCAAGTGTTGGCAAAATTTTATATTAAAGGAAGTATTGATCCGCTTCAATCCATTTTTAACACAAAAACATACTATTATGGAGAGTTTTATTTAATTATTTTATTATATGAATTTCAATCATATATCTTACACTTTGACCAATATTTTCAGTAAAAAGTCAACTATAGGCACTGGGGTCCACATATGAGGTACTTAGGGGCTTGAACAGTTTTGGTTCGATTTAGACAATTTTTGGTCACAAGATGGCATACTTTAAACGCATTATTCACACAAAGTTTTACCCCGATTTAATCATTGTTGCTTGATTTGCATAGTGAAAAGTTAAAGATTCAGATGGAATTTAAAATGGTGTTATATGGGAAATAGGAATGGTTGTGATCCGCTTTCGCCCATTTTCGTACTATAACATAGAAATATGAAAAGAATGTTGTTTACCGAATTTTGTTGACATCTGTTGTGCAGTTCCCAAGATATGGGTTTTCACCTAAAAGTGGGTCCACTGTCTAATTTTGAACGCGGTTCCTATAAAATCATCTCATACTCTCCCAGAGATAAAATTTAATGTCTCTGGCGTGTTTAGTGCTTGAATTATCGCACTTTTAGTAGTTTTTAACAGTACCGTTATATGGGGATTAGACAACCAAACTGGAACTTATCACCCAAACGGGGACTAGGTAACCGTTACAACAACAATAACAACATGGGGAGTGGGCGGGGTTGTCACCCGATTTCACCCTTTTCACACTGTCGATAGAGGTGCTAATAGCATTTGTTCCCAGTGAATTTAGTTATTGTAGCTTTAGCGGCTTAGGAGATATGCACAATAAACCTATTAGGGGCCGGCCCACACCCTCTTTTTAAAAAAAATTTAAACTGCAGTTGCTCCATCTGCAATACCAACCGTCTTACGGTACCAAGAAACATGTGTACCAAGTTTTAAAAGATGTCTCAAGTTACAGCTTGCACGGACGGACAGACGGTCACCCGAATTTCAACTCGTCTCTTCAGCCTGTAGCAACATGTTGCGAGAGTTCAAAAGCATTAACTTCGGCTGCACCGAAGCTATAATACCCTTCGCAGATTCAAGTTTACTCACAAGAAATTAAGTTGGATCGATCAGTTTGTATGGCAGCTTTATGCCGGTCTGAATAATTTCTCCGGATATTGTGTTGTTGCCTAGGAAAATAATCCATGTCAAATTTTTTGAAGATAATTTGTCACATAAAAAGTTTTTCCATACAAGAACTTAATTTTGATCGGTCAGTTTGTTTTTCAGCTATATGCTATATTTGATCGACGATTCCTACAAATTAGCCTATCGAAAAAAACGACGTGTGCGTAATTTCGAGTCGATATCTCAAAAACTGAGGAACTAGTTCGCGTATATATAGGCATGGCTAAATTGACTCAGCCTGTCACGCTGATCATATATACAAATATATCTATTATAGGGTCTCCGACATTTCCTTCTGGATGTTACAAACAAAGTAAAATATAGGGTATACGGGTTCAGAGTATAATAGTTAAGTATATTTCTTATTCTTTCCAGTCTTTAAGAATGTTGAGGTTTTCAGAAATAAATGTCAATGTTAACCCCGTTTTACATCACTTCATCACCATCGTCGCCTTCAGCAAACTTTTCTCATATCTATACCTTACTTTCATCTTAAATGACAAAAGATCAACAGACCAATCAAATTTTTGAGATATCGATCTAACCAACTTTATTGGTAATTTGCGAAAAAATTAAAAGATTTCTGTAAATAATAGAAAGTTTGGCGATGTTTAAGGAACTTTTCCTATTTCATTCTCCATGTTGAATGACGTGCAGTTTTATTCTTCTAATATTGTGAAAAAGATCCAAGAGAGATTACAAATAGATGATGTTAGTATTTCACAGTATCTCACAAAGGTATTTTAAGCATGTATCTTTAAAAAAAAAAATTTATATATATGTATACTAGGCGCCCTCCGCTGCGTTCCGGGACGCTCGTTTCGCTCGCTCGCCTACGTCCGCCCCCCGCCGAGCGCGAGCTACCTCGCTCTTATGTTAGTTGATTCTCGACAGCAGCAGAAAACTTTTGTATATAATAGAGAGATATTTATTAATACCCAGAGTATACAATCTCCAATCGGGGTTAACAGTGCCACCACGTGAAGGCGAAAAAAGAGATTCAGAATGAGACGTGAGGGGCTTCTTTTGTAATCTCAGCCATACTTTTTAAAGCTCTAAAATAGTCCTTTCTTTCTTTCTCGTGTTTAATTTATGAATATTTTGGTTAATAATAGTTGTGGAGTTTCTAGGGATTCTTTAACAAAACCTTTATTGTTTCAAGGATTAATAGTCCTCTATAAACCTCGACAAAAATTATTTAATGTGTTAACAGCATTTAGTGGTTATTAATTTGGTTTCTTTCCAATTACGGAAAAACTGTTGTAAAAGCGGGGTTTCTTAGCATATTTGTTAAGGCTGAGAAGGCAAGATTTTCAAGAACGAATTAGTAAAAATTTCCATCTCGATTCCTTAATCCAACTATTGACCTAATTCACATTTCCATTCGTCGGGAAATTCATTATGTAGTATTATATATAAAAGACGCTTATTATTTCTAAAACAAAGCTAGTGTTGATATAATCTCACAAAATTTAAAGTTAACCTAAACTCATAATATTTAAAAAATGTTGGATATTATAATTGCTTGACATAACCTAACCACGTAATATTTATAAATTGCTTCAAAAATATCCTAGACTTGTCTTTGCCATTGTATCATTAACATATTGCGTGATGTTTTTTTTAACTCTGCTTGATAATTATAATAATCATACATGATAATGCATAGTTTAATGTATACTTGGGTTAACTTTTAGTACAGACATTCGGCCAGCCAATTGGCTTAACAACATAACTTGTTAACTTTTGCAACAGAAAACTGTCAAAACTTTTCTAAATTCTAAATTCTTATAAGTTCGCTCAGTTTGTTGGCATTTTAAGAGTAGACGAGTATAATCTAGTTAGAAAATTTTGTAATTTTTGTGTTTTCATGTACAATACACACGCAGTCAATCGATACCGGACTCAATTTGGGCCAGCTGCCTATGTCGCGTCGGCGCAGCTCCTTGGTAAGGATACGTGTCTGTAACGCGTTATAAGGCACAGTTCACATTTATTTTATAATTTTCTATTTTTTTAACAGTCCAATGTCATAAAATACCTTATGTTTTAATTAATTTTTGCCATAATTTTTTTTTAAAGCATATATTTCTTAAAATATGTTTTTTGTCAACATTTTATGCCGTTTTCATTAATATCCTTGAAACTTTCTAGGTTTTTTTTTTAACTTTTTATTATTTCTCTTCGTAATTGCTTTAGCTTTTTGCAGTTGCATTTTACTAGTTGCGCTTCTTCTCTCTTCTTTTTACACTTTCAATATGTATGTATATGTATGTTTTGCACTTATTTTTTTTTATATTTTCTTTGTGATTTTGCTTATTTGTTGTTTCTAGCAAAGAGTTAACTAGAATTTAAAAATTAGTCTGATGCATATTTGCAGGATGTTGATGTGGACGTCGAGGGATCTGGTGGTCTTGGTGATACCGGTGCACAGACAGCCATGAATGTTAAACGCAATGAGAAAGCATTTTTGGCAAGAATATGGGGAAACTTCGATTCCAAGTAAGTTAACATTAAGTAAATACAATTAGGGTATTCATAAGGTGTCATATCGTCATATTGTCTAATTTTTTTTACTGACTGTCATATCGGCGCTGTTGTTGTTTCTCACGCAAAATTGAAATACGACAAATACAACAGGGCTAGGTATGTTTTTTGAGTGTGCTATTCTATCAGCGTATCTGTTTACTTTTTTTTATTGTTGACGATTAGGTGTCTAAAATTAATAAAATAAATAAATTTCATCAATTTCTTTAATAATATGAAAGGAAGCCACGATATTCAGGTAAATTAAGTTGAAGAAAAGTGAAATATAAAAATATTTTGTTGTTTCTGTGGTTGCAATGCAAACCAAAATGCCGACGGTTCAACATACAGAAGCTTTAATTTTATTTTTATCACTTTCTCGTGGCATTTTTGTATTCTTAATTTTTCACTACCAGCTGGTGAAGTGAAGAAATAGACTATTTTTTAAGACTATTGAAATACGACATTTAATTGCCTAAATATGTTTTTGAAGATCATACATAATTTTTATTACATTACGACTGCTCGGTGTTCGGATCTCACTTGGACAGCTTAGAACGCCGATCATAAGACCCTTACAAATCAACGATCAAATCGATGGTTTGTCTGCTGGTTCGCCGAAGGTAAGACTGCGGAGATGTTTGAACCTCAGTCTTGCAAAGGCTAGACAAAGGAGGAGAAAGTGTCTGGAAGTTCTTCCACCTCATCCTTATCCATACAAGATATTTAGCCTTACCGCATGCTTATTGGACAATGTTCTAATATCCTAAGAACTTCTATAATCGCGGAAAGATAAACTTTGCTAAGGGCAAATAGTTCAGAAGATCTCTTGCGTTCTACTCTAGGCCAAACAGATCACAGGAGCGGGTCATCGACCAGAGCCTGCTAAGCGCATGAGAAGTCCATTATTCCAGTGCTAGAACACAAGATGACAATGGAGATCTAACTCGGCCCTATTCCAATGTGAGCGGGGCAATGGTATCCCCTCTGTCTAGCTTGTCGGTTGATGCTATTTCTAGTGAGGAAAGACACTCCTTGACTAGCTTTAAAGTTAGCGAGCTCAGCGCTAGTATTGTCGCTCCGCTGGCGGAGTGAATGCTCACCTATCTGAAAGAGCCTGCACTTTATAGCAGTACGTCTACCGTCACCTGAATAACAGCCACTTCTACCTAAAAAACACTACAAAAGGACGGTTATTTATTGCTGTAGTGTATACAGAATAGCAAATTTTGTGTAAGGGAGAGATCTGGCAAAGCAAGAAACAAGACCCGACAATTTTATTTGATTTATTTAACAAAATTTGTTGTGATTGTAGGAAAACATACAGAAAACATTCACCAAATAGTTTTGAAGAACTATGCCGAGTAGACAGTCCTCGGCCTAAGGAAAATCCGAGTTCGTTTCGGCTAGGTAGACCCGATTATACTGGGTACGAACGTCTTATCCTCCTACACTTTGTTATACTCTCTTTGGGTTCTAAATAAATATAACATTACTTTCTGGTAAACAATTTTATTTTATACTGATCATTTTACCAATTTACCGTTAACATTGTATACTAAAATTGCAACGAAGTTTGTAACATCCAAAAGAAATTGTCGGAGATCCTATAAAGTATATATATAAATGATCAGCGTGACGAATATAATCGATCTACCCGTATCCGTTTGTACGTCTGTCTGTTTGGATATATACAAACTAGTCCCTTAGTTTTTGAGATATCGATCTGAAGTTTTGAACTCTCCCAAGGAAGCTGCTCACTTGTCGTCAATTCGGACCACTGTAGCATATAGCTGCTACAAGTCTGGTATGGAAAATGTTTATATTTGACAAGATATCTTCAGGAAATTTTTGTCAAAGTCAACGGTACAATCTCTGAACAAACTGTTCAGATCGGACCCCTGTACTATATAGCTGTCATACAAACTATCCAATCAAAATCAAGTTCTTCTTTATTTCTTTTTCCTTTTCGCAGATATATGAAACCGCTGTTGACACATTCACGACCAACGCTGCTCGAAACTTTGCCCGTATGCTGTAATCCAGTGGCGCGCTTACTCACCACAACCGAGCAACTTACACAGGTACGAATGTAAATAGCGATAAATACGTTTTGGAATACAGACATACAGACATATATACTAACAGCTAAAAAATAAATATAAAGGGGCGGAACACATTTGCATTACAATTGTAATTATGTATATGGCATATTTCTGTTGAAAGTACAACTTTTTCGAATTTTGTTTTCCTTTTCGATTTTTGCACATACCAACAACATATTACCCAACTGCATTGCATTTCTTATCATCTCATTGCATGCACCATTGACGCGCGGTTCATCCATATACATAAATCCCGCTACACACATATTTGTATACATGCCTAATTACTGCGCGCCAACACCTCAGGATGGCGGCGGTTTGCGGCGCTCCGACTCGGATTCAGATATTTGCATTGATGATGAGAATTTCGGCGCATCCTCAACGAATGGCAATGGCGCAGCAGGTGGCTTAAATGGCGGCGGTGGCGGTAGTGGTAGTGGCGGCTCAGCCGGCATGGGTCCACGTCGCAACTCGATCAATCGTGTAAGTATACGCTTTGTCGCGGATGATCGCAGCCTCTTTGCTAGCTACAAAAATCGTGATTGAATTACTTATATACTTATGTAAATACTTACATAGACATATACCTACATAACAAACGTAAATATACATATGTAACTTATACTGACATATACTACATACATACATACGCTCTTCTTATTGTATGCAGTAACTAAGACTAACTGAGAGCCAAGGTTAACATTAACGAAAATTTATAACCACGAACAACCGTTCTGTTCATTAATTGAAATTTTTAGTAAATTGTATAAATATTTATTTGATTGATTGCGGTATTATTGGAGTAAAGAGAATTAGGAATTTATTTACATTAATATTGAAAAGGTTAAGGTGTGTGTATATGGTATTGTGGCAATCGTTAGCGTAAAACTGAAATAACATTTGGAAAAAAAAAAGTAAAAATAAATTTATTATTTGCTGTGACATTTTGCCACACATTTGCACACCGTAGATTCTATTACAAATTTTGTTAGATTTTTTTTTTATAACTATTCAAAATTGTATCGAACTTTACGTTTACCGTTAATTACAAAACAAGTGAAATTTAATTGTTTTTATTTGTTTAAATATTTTATTAATTATTGTTTTTTAATAATTATTTCTTTGTTTATTAATTAATATTTTAATTATTTTGTTTTTGATTAATTTTTTTTTTTAATTTTTCAGCTTTGAGTATTTTTTTTAATAAATATTTTCGCCATAAATCTGTAAAATAAAATTTTATTATTTGCCGTTGCATTTGGCCACGCAATTGCAGACCGTAGATTTTTTTAAAATTTTAGTTTGAATTTTTTTGTAATTATTAAAAATTGCAACGAACTTTACATTAACCGTTAAGCATTTTCAATTGAAAAACAAAGGAGATTTAATTTTTTTTATTTGTCTAAATTTTTTAATGATTAAAATTATTTATGTTTTATTATTAATTATTGTTTTTTATTGATTAATTAATCTTTTTAATAAATATTTTTTTAATAATTCCTTTCTTTTTTAAATTTTTTAATTGTTATTTTTTACTTAATAAACATTTTTTTTTTCAAATTCTTAGGTGCATATTTTTTAGTTTTTGAATAAAGTTTTTATTTCACTAACAACGTTTTTATTTAGCGTTAAACGCTCACTCGCAGTATTTTCGTAACAGACTTTACTATTAAAATACACTCTACAAAACTTATGTACTTACTTAACTTTATTATGTTAATATTGTTGCTGTTATTGTTGTTATTTATTATTAAAATAAATATTATGTATATTTTGCATGTTAAATAAAACGTAAACAAATTAACCCAACTGTAATTAAAAAAACAATTTTCTTTTTTTTCATCTGCTATATTTCTGTATTTTTTCTGTCGAATAACCCACCACATATGGAAACTTTGTTATGCAAAAAAACAAAAACAAAACAAAATTTGAATACTAAAATAATAAAAATTTTACGCATTGATTAAATTTATATATGATTTATTAAATTATGACTTGTATGATTATTTATAATACCTACAACAACAAAAATATATGATTAACTTGTAACTGCTGCAACACAAATCCGAACGAAAACAATCGCAAAATTCGTCATACATAGCATACGAATTTTCTGAATGAAGCTAATCAATTAATAACGGATCTTAGTTTGGTTACTAACAACTTTATGTGAATCAAAAAACAAAAACAAAAATCAAACGAAAACACCAACCTTTTGGCGTATAACTAAATGCTTAAATGTTAGAATTCCTTGTACTTGTACTAAGAATTTTTTAATCACAAACTCACCTGTTTTATCACATACACACACACACACATAAATCCTACACACAATCCGAATTCCAAAAAAACTGCTTGCGTAAGGTGCATACACACACAGTTATTTCTTCAATTTATTGAATTTATGGCTTAAATGTTTAAAAAAACATTTTTTTTTATCAGTCTCACCACCTCATTCGATATTAACACGGTCAAAGGTATCACATAGAAACTATACGCCTGTCAAATAATCAATATTTACATATGAACTAACTAAAATAATTCAAATATACATTTATTCTAACTAGTGTTCAAATTCGATACCACTTTACCCAAAGGCATTATATTGGGTCTATAAATATGTAAGATTTTGTGAAATTTTGAAAGGAAAATATTCAAAACTCTGCTATTACGACGTCATTTCCGGCAGTCCCTCAGAAAAAAGGTGCCTTCATCAAAAACAAAAATAAAAAGTGTTTGAATTAAGATCATACACTAGGTATTGGACGAAGGAAAAAAAATTCAAAATTGTATTTTTGGCCGACGTTTTTACAAAAAAATGCAAATTTTGGTGAAAATTTCTCGACGTTTTTTGGAATTGTTGTAATTGAACAAAACAAAAATCCTTCGTTTAAGACCTTACAAATTATATATCGAAGACCTCTGTAAAATTTAATTAAGATCGGTTGAGTAGTTCGCGAGAAATCTTGAAAACTGATTTTGACAACACACTTTCGCAAAAAACGCTTTTAAAGTTTTAAGTGACCATATAGCTGACGTCGAGCGCGCAACTCTTCAAGACTGTATATCCAAAAATTTTAATGGGATTAACTTGAGAACTTAGGACAATATTCTGCAGATGTTACATAATTAAATAAGACAATAAAAAAATGTAACCCCTTAAGAAAAACGTTCAATAATATCAACATATTCTCCAGATGAAAGTATAACTTTTTCCCATCTCTCTAGTCATTCATCAAATAAGTCAATTTTTTATTCCGTCTTCTGATGTGAGGACGTTCTGCATCGGCCGTAACAAACGGTTGTCAGAGAGGCAAGGTCTTAACTATAATATGGATGAGTCAAAATTTCTCAGCCGCTATTTTTCAAATACTTTTTAACCGGTCTTCCAACATGAGGCCGAGGGTTGTTATGATTGAAAATTATTGACTCGTGTCTAGTCGCACATTCTGTGCGTTTTTCGGCAATCACTCGCTTCAATTTGATGCTTTGTTGTTGGCAACGGTTTTAGAAGTTCATAATACAGCACACTAGTTACCCGATGCAAAAACAACTACTTTTTATAGCGTTCAAGCAACATTTCTGATATACAAAATCGTTTTTCAATGTATCTTGGCTTTAATTCATATGGCACCCGATTTCGTTGCTTTTGAATGTATCCGGCTATTTTTAAACGTTTTGAAATGACTGCTTAAGTGACTCCCAAAGATACTGTCACCTCTTGTGTTTAGCAACAAGTTTCATTGAGTAATGTTTCCAGTGTTTTATCTTCGAAGGACCTCCCAAGATGTCTTCATATTAAAATAATGAAGAAGAACTCACTGCAGCAACATTTACAGGCACAATGTTCGACATATTTGAGTGAAAGAAAAAAATCTTGTTGTTGACCATATAATTAAACCTATTAAGAAGGCTAGCATTTCAGTTCGAGTTTCATTAATCTACTAGTGTTTTTGATAATGTTGAGAATATAACTATAATACTGCCTCCTTAATTGTAAGTGGAATTATATTAGAAGTTGTCTAATGCCGGTGAGGTTCCTTCAAAACCGGTATTGATTACAAGTATAATAAATATTGCCTCGAATTTTAATTTGCGAGCCACTGATTTCCGATTCGCTGTTTCATTACTCAGCTTGGTCAATATAATGTCAAGTTTTGACTCTGATGTCATCCAGCACCAATAATATTTTCCACTAGAAACGGTTCATAAAGGAATTATTTCTTAACTTTTCTAAAAAGTTTTTGTATCTCTTTATCATGCAAAATGCTAACTATCGTTGCCTTTTTTTCAAAAGGACTCGGTGCAGGAAATGGTAATTGAAGACAAGACTTTTTTTTTGTTAAAAAGCTACAAGTATATGAAGCCGGTAGCCACATCTTTGGTTAATTTTGCTTTAGCATACCTATATTCTTAGTCAAAAAGCAATCAGTCAGTCGGAGATCGCTCAAAGCTTCTTTTGACAAGGCAATGGCACCTCTACTGCGATTGTTATTCAAATCCATTAGTTTTCTAGAGGTTGACTGAAATTTATAGGACTCTACATTGGTCAGATTACAGGATCAGGAGGAAAAGCGCTGTTAAGAATAAAAAATACTATTATTAGCGCCGATTATATCAATAACGGTTTTATCAAAAACTATTATATTATATTTCCAACTATTTTATCAAGTTTTCTTCAAGTCGTTAGTGAGTACCGAACCGAACATGCAATGATCTTAATCAAATAAATACAAAACACCAAGCAGTTACATACATCTATCACTTCACTTGTTTTGAATGCAACTGTATAATTTTGTTGTTGCTGCCATCATATTTTTTTATTAGAGAATAGAGCTCTAATCATCACATTCAGCCAACGGAGAAGTGGCGAATAGAAGACGGCTTATTTGTGTATATTTCTCAGCAGCAAAAATTGGGTATAAATGATATACATACATCATACTCGTACATACATATGTGTCAACATATTTCCCGTCACAATTTATAAATTATAATTTATTAACAATATAATTTACATAAAAACTGGTTTTGGGGATTATTACTAAAATAAAAAATGCTAAATATTTTAATTATTGTAGAAAGTCGATATTCTTTTACTAACCTCAATTTCTTTGGATATCAACTAACCTCACTTACACCTTCCAAAACGTTAAAAGCGCTTTAAAGTGTTTTTTTTTTTGTTTGTGTTTAATTTAATTTATTCATTTTCTATACAATGTTTGTTTTCTTTCTTACTTGCAGAGTGAGAACGATCTCCGTACTCATCACATATAAAAACAAAAACATACATATATAGTTGTTAACCGCAAGCAAAAAGAGCGAGAGAGAAAAATACATATGCTTTTCTCATTAGATATTTGTACACAAACTCCTGTGGGTGTTAACAAAATCATATGTGTTTTGCTTGAATTTGGGTTTCTGCACTTATTTGTTCTCAAGCACCACAACAAATTTCTAGTTATACTCAAATTCAGAACGAATACATTAACTATTGGCTATAATATTTTGTCCACCTATTACTATTTATTTATTATTAAGATGTTATTCATTACATAATTTACATATATATACACGTAAATTGTATGGAAAAGAGTATGAAAGACAAATTCAAAAGTAAATTAATATTTCGACATATACATACATACAAATATACTTATACGATATATATATATACATGTTCTGAATTGTGATTTATTTACTAAATTATTTATTTAAATTTAAAGTTATATTACTTGTATTTACTTAGACTTGTTTGAATTTAATTAATTTTAAATGTTTAATAGTAGAAAAAAACTTAAATTGTCGTAAATTGTAAGTGGGGTTCACATAAAAATTTAAAGAATTTGCAATAAATGTTGAGCAGTTAATTTTAAAATTAATTCTTGGGCTACTAACTTTGTGACTCACAATACATATATTAACACGGAACAACAAGTTATTACAAGTGGCATAACAGAAAAGTTTAAAATTGTTTTTACGTTACTTTTCTCTTTCGTTATACATATTCTCCTTTTAAATGGGTTATTACCACTTACGAGTATTTAAGGCAGTATGTTGCATAAAATGCGCAATTTTTTAGGGAAGCGCATATTAGTGACATCTTATTAGCTATATGCTATTTGCTCAGAAAAGAGCTGGACCGTTATTAGCAAGCAATAATGAGTTTTTAAACGAACAACTTTAAAGGAAATGTCTTCTTCAAAAAACATCTTTCATATACTCAACTCTTTCGAGCCTTAGCTACTATGACGTCATCTTAGCAAAATTCAGTATATTAATTACTCTAGTCGTGCGAGTCGAGCTTTTACAAAGGACAAAATATTCAAAATGTCACAATTGTGTATTTAAATTCAAAACGTTCCTATTAAAAATATTATTTGTCTTTATAAATTGTTCTAAAAACACACACAAAGAAGATTTAAATAACTTTCATCAGCTGCGCGACCAAAATTCTTGTTACTTTATTTTTATAAATTTTTTCGCTCGCTCAATTATGGAAACATTCTTCTACAAAATAATACGTTAAGTGATTGATAACAGTTTGATGTTTCGCTTGATTCATCCGGCTCAAAGTTCAAGGAAAAAAGCAAACATATAGCACCAATTGGGAATAGACCTGAAACTAGCTCAAATATAAATTTTCAGGCAAGGCATATACTGGCCATTCAATTAATTAAATATCCCATACGCTTCGTTGGAATTTTTACGTTGTCGATAATATATGTGGTCCTTGAGAGTACCTAGCGACAGGTTTAACCGGAGAAATTCAGTTTTCTGTTGGTATCAATTCTATTGTGATTTATCCATATTTACTTAACGATTAACGATGACAACACCACTAAAAATTTATATAAATCGATTGTTGTCAATTGGAACACATTTTTGAGAAAAAATATTATTATATTTATTTTATTTGTTTCTTTTCGTATTTATTATGAAAAATTATACTATGGTTTTTTCTTCTCTAAGGGGCACACCTAGTGTAACAGCCTAAAAAAGGCGATTTTTGGCAATTAAAAAAATACTGCATCAATTGTTTTAAAATTTCGTGGGTTAAGAGGTTTATACATATTTGAGGAATTCACAGTAAAATGTTTTAAGAAACAAATTAAATATATTTCGAGTTACACACAATCTTCGACGGCGCTAAAGAAAGGTCCTCAACTGCTGCAGTTATACCGGCTTTCTCCACGGATGAAACCCAGGTTGGGTTAGGTTAGATTATGGGGACGATCCTTGGACAGCTTAGAACGCCGGTCTGTTGTGTTACCTTAAACTCCTATATAATGAATCATAAGACTCCTAACATACAAATCACAAAGCGCTTTGAACCTATCACAAATTTGTTGGAACGACTAATGTCAGATTCTGCTACGTCTCCTGCTTTGCCGAATGTAAGACAAACTCAGCTTTACAATGTAGGAGAAAGTGCCTAGATGTTTTCAACTCACCCTCTTCTACACTATTGACCAGCGTTTGCTAAGCGCACACGAGGTCCATTATTCCAGTGATAGAACGCAAGATGCTCATTGACAACTTGCAAGAATTAAAGCCCAAGAAATTCCTTCAGTTGCTGGATAAACTTTATTTAAAAATGTTGCGAAAGAATTAAACATCCATTATTCGATGAAATTGTGAATAAATTACAATCAAATTTGGTATCTTCTTGACTTATATTAAAAGCCCTAAACTGAGACTTAGTTTTATTGTTTTTTTTCCGTGACAGCTAAAATTATATTAAAAACACCTTTAAATGAGATAGTGGATGTATGTGATATTAACTCGACCCAAGAGGCTAAATGTTAATATTGAGATGATGTGAAAAACGTTAACCAGAGGATCGGAACTCATTGTATCAGGGATATGAAGTTTAGACCAAGGTACATATTCTAATTTTGCATTATATGCAGTATATGGCAGTTGGGACGTGCTACAGACTAATAAAATGCTCCCAGGGTTTCATTCAGGTACCTCACATACCATCACCAATCCGGCCGGAAGCTGGAACAGTTCCATCGGTTGTGTAAAATTCAAAGTATCTGACTTGTTTATTTAATGAGTTATCGTTATTGAGTTATTGTTAGTAATTTTAAACAAAACCGTTATATGGGAGTGGGCGGTGTCATTACGCGATTTCACACTGTCGGTGGGCGTGCTAAAAAGATTTGTCTTGAGTGAATTTGGTTAATACAGCTTTAGCGATCTAGAAGATATGCACATTCAGCCTATTAGAAAGCGTGACTACCGACATTTTTTGTAAACTGAAGATGCCACTCCCTAATGTGATTCGTTGTACCAAATAACTGTTTTGAAGCTAAGTTATGGCAATTTATTGGTTTTTGTAACACAAAAATTATTTGATAATATCGATATGATTTAAAATTTTAGTACGTTATTTTGAAAGGTATAATTTATTGAAATCTGAAAGCATCTTTCTTTTAATTTTACACTTAACGTATCAAGTACTTTAGTGGTTGAAAGAAACTAACAACAGTTTACAAATCATAAAACTCTAATTTTAATTAATTCTTTACTCATTAAAAAGTCTCTTTGTACATTTTGTGTTCTAAATACCTAAAAAAAGAATTTCAGACTTTCTTTCTCTTTTATTTCAAAGCATTCTTTAACTTTCTGCGACGTATTGTTATTTTTTTTATAAATACAATAGTTAAATTTATTAATGAATTTAAGAAGCATGCGAATTTTAACATTTTAAAGCAAATAATTTAAAATATATTTATATATATTATTGTTTGTTCAAATTAAAAAAACAAACTCGATTCCTAAATCCCTTTGTGCCATTTCATATATAATTTATTTTTCTTTCGTTTTTATTAAACCAGCAACAACACTCGTACACTCTCATACCAGCAGAACAGAAAACAAACAAACAAAAAATTAGACAAAAAAGTACAAGTACCAAGAATATTTTAATCAATATATAGAAATAATTTAAAAGAATTTAGTATGCAAATACTTATACTCGGCAATTAATCATATCGTTGTTTTTTCTTTTTTATTTCTAATATGCGGTGCAAATTTAATTGTTGATTGTCCAATAAAATAAATAAACACATATTTATAAAATATACATACATATGACTAATAACGTTAAATTAAAACCAACAAAAAAAAAATACGACTGACACGTGACTTAACGCCACAAATTGTGCGTAAGTAAATGCAGATGGAAATAATGGAGCATGTGCAAAGCCCCGTTTCGACCCGCATTAGGCTATTAGGATTCTACGGAAAGAATTTATAGAGTAACTGTAAACATTTTATGTCTATATACATATGTAGCCTTTCCAAGTAATATGTTTGTTTCGATTTTGAATTGCTTAATATGAAAATCTAAATGAAATCGCTAATTGTGAAATATACATAGATATTTTTGTGCTTAAAATTTTTACATAAAAAACAAAAAAACATAAATGAATTTGATTTGCTTTAAGCGACAAACACGATTGATTAATGTCTACATACATATATTAATCATATACATACATACAAACGAATACTTAAAAAGATAAACCAATTTTGTACAAATTAATAAAGTTATGATGAAATAATAAAAACTAGACAAATTCAAAATTGTTTGAAATATTATATCAACTTCTTGTCAACCTAATTTTTCGCAAGTTATTTTAGTTCAAGAACCGCAAAATATCTAAGCGCATGCGAGAGCAGTGCTCACAGTGCTACTACACAAAGCGCAGAAAACCGCACATAATTGGAAATCTTCAAACCATGCTTTCACTAATTATTTGGAACCAACATTTTTGGGTATTTACCATAATGCTTACATGACTTCCTTGTTCATCTGTTACAAGTTTTGCTTGAAATAAAGAAATGATTTTTATTAAAAAAATTGTAACTTAATTTATTGTAGGAAGGCAATATTTAGATAAAAAAAAAACGTTAACGTTGGCGGTTCAGAATCCTCCCAGTGAAAGATGGTCATATCCAATTGTGGCAAAGTATACTTTGAATAAGCAAACATAAAAAAGCGATTGGTTGGACCAAGTTAAACTACCCTTCACAAATAAAAAGTTCCGTAAAATTTGATTTTCTTAGATCGGTTTGTATGGCAGTTATATGTTATAGTGGTTCGATCAAACAATTCAGAGACTGTACCGTTGCTTTGGAAAACTTCATGGTGGTATCTCGTCAAATAAAAAAATTTTCCATACGAGAACGTGATTTCAATTGTTCAGTTTGTATGACAGCTATATGCATAGTGGTCCGATCTGAAAGAAATTTGAACCATTGCCTTAGACAATATTCATACTGAATTTTATAAAGATATCTCTTAAAATATAGAAGTTTTCCATATAAAAACTTGATTTTGAATGGTCAGTGTGGCAGCACATACATACATTTGATCTATACAATTTATTCGGAGATTATAGCGTTGCCTTAGACAATGATCCCTGCCAAATCGTGAAGTATCTCTTCAAATGAAAAGTTTTCCAAACAAACACTGATTCCGATCGTTCAGTTTGTACGATACCGTCAAAAACTGAGAGACTAGTTCACGTATTTCATTTCAATAAGTAAAAATATAAAATTAATACTGAAAGCATAGGGTGTTGGAAATTCATTATATGTAAGAAACTACATTTTAACAATAAAATGAGACTTCGTGGGAGTTCTCGCAGTGTCCAATTTAATTACTGGAGCCGTTGTTTAATGTAGAGATGACGAGTTATAGGACGTTGTGCTTCTGGTTTACTAAGGAATCTTCTCTGGTCGAGATGCGCAAATATGATTTCAGTGATCAAGAATGCCGGTGTAATGCTTTCGTCTTCGTTCATCTCTTTGCCGTTGACTTCGTTGCACGTTGCTCGGTCTTTGTAACGAAAAGTATTCGACTGTGATGTGAAGTAGAATCTGGTAGAATTCTTTAAATGTGAGTGAGAAATTTCTCAAAGAAATATGTCCAATCGGTTGCCGGACTCTCGTGCATAAAAGAATCGCCTGGTATTCGAAGTGTCGTTCCAGATAGATATTATGCGGTGACGCCTTCAAATCCTCTTTATAGCAAGTTCTTAACCCTAGTAAGACCGATGGCAGTAACTGCACCCATTGGTTGTTTCGTGACAAATTATTGCTGGTTTAGGTGTGCGGTGCCATCTTTCTACGAGTCCATTTGCTGCTGGGTGTATTGCGTTCTGCGGATTCGTTTTCCAGCAACTAAACGTGAGAGGGATGGGAAAAAGGCGCTCCCAAACTGGGTTCCTTGGTTAGTTGTAATTAATTTCGGGCAATTGAAACATACGACCCAGTGCGAGTAGAGTACGTTGGCGACTGTGTTTGCTGTAATGTCTTTGATAGGTACGGCTTCAAACCACTTCGTGAATCTGTCGATCATTGTTGATCTAGACGTCGCAAATGATTCATTGCTCCCCGGACCAAAATTAGTGTTTGCAGTTGCAAAGAATATCATTGCATATTAACAAACGCTGGAGCTCTTCATCCGATGCTTGTGTGAGTAAAAGTTCATCATGGTCGATGCACATCGGAAGGTGTATTGTGTCAATGCGTGATACATTATTATCGACGCCTGTAGTCATTGGATGGTTGTTGTGAATTGGCTGATAAATCTTAACTGTCTGATTTGTCGAGGCGAAGATTTATCGGACTGCTGGTGGAAAGCGAACAAGTGGTTTGTGGTCAGTTCGAACAACGACTTCTCGTCCTTCGACCCAATATCAAATTTTTTTGGCTTCATACGTGTTATAACTCTTTTGTGCCGGAGAAAGTTTTTGAATAGAATCCCAATAATTGCCAACACTATTATTTTCTTCTCGGATACTTCCCCCAAAGCGGTACTGGATACGTCACATGTGATGCGAAGCTGCTCTTTGACTGCGATGTAGCTTTTTCCGCTTCTTTCGTCCACGGCACTGATCTTTATCATTTTCTTTGTATTTTTCAAGAGGTAATTGAGTGACACTTGTTCATCGACAGCATTCTTCAGGTGACGTCTTTAGAAATTTATTGCACCCAGAAATCTCTTAATTCGAGAAATGTTTTCGGCTTGGGAAGCTCTCGGAGCGATTGCACCCGATCATTTAGTAGTGTTGAGCCAAGCAAGGAAATTTGATATATGAGGAATTCGACGTTGGTTGAGCATAAGACGCATTTGTCTACATTGTTGCAAAGGCCGTATTGGCTGAGCCACGAAATATCAAACGCAAATGTTGTTAGTGTTGTCATTCATTGCTTGAGGTTATGAGGAGGTCGTCGAGTATGCGTAGGCGAAATCAAGATTGGAAAGAACATCGTTGATGAAACGTTGAAACGACGCTGCGTTGCGAAGATGTCTGCGCTACCAGTATTTGTGTCAGGAACGCGGTCAAACAATCGGGGGGATTAACACTGCCGACAGTAGTCGCCGAATCTACTGGGGTCTGTTGGTGTTTCCTGATACATAGCGGTGGTACTAGCAAAATAACGGTAGTGGACTGGAAAGCGATTGTGCTGTGTCATTGAGTAGCTGTTGTTTTACTGAGTTGGCCGTTGTCAAGCTCTCCTGAAGCGATCAGCGCTCTTCTGAAAGCGGCATTGTTGCGAAATTTAAAAAGTTTATTAACATCTCTTTGATTTTAGGACATTGCTGTGTATATAGCTGTGTCATATTCTGTAAAACCATATTTAAAATCTAATGCCACAAGATTATCTTTCGGATAAATAAAATGTATGTCAATCGAATAATCTCTCGTTGTTTTATTCCAATTTAAAGTTCTATACCTCTAAAAACACCTTAACATTCGGACGTGCTTGGTCCAATTAGCACAAAATCGTTCAGCGGCACACAGATTTTTGTTGGATATTGCGTTTTATCAAAAGCATATCATGTTTACCAAAAATCTGACAACAAGTTTCTTGTGAGTCGTGATATTACATTTTTAGAAAATATCAGCTGTAAATCCAAGCGCGCAGAGCCAAATCTAATTGTTGACATTATTAACGAAAAACAAGTAAGGAAGGCTAAGTTCGGATGTACCGAACATTTTATACTCGCAAAGTCAAATGTATACCGTTTGAGATTTCTTTGTGGATTGACTGATATTTTCGGTAGAAGGTCAACTATAGCACTGGGGTCCACATATTTAGTACTTAGGGCTTGCACAGTTTTGGTTCGATTAAGACAATTTTTGGTCACAAGGTGGCATACATTAAACGTATTATTCACGCAAAGTTTTACCCCGATATAAACATTGTTGCTTGATATGCATAGTGGAAAGTGAAAGAATTAAATGATTGAAAATGGTGTTATATGGGAAATAGCGTGGTTGTAGTCCGATTTAGCCCATTTAACATAGAAATATGAAAAGAACGTTATGCATCGAATTTGGTTGAAATCGGTTAATCAGATCCCAAGATATGGGTTTTAACCTAAAAGTGGGCTGTGCCACGCCCAGTGTCTAATTTTGAACGCGGTTCCTATAAAGTCATCTCATACCATCTCAGAGATAAAATTTAATGTCTCTGGCGTATTTAGTGCTTGATTTATCGCGCTTTTAGTAGTTTTTAACATTCCGTTATATGGGAGTGGGCGGAATTGCCACCCGATTTCAACTATTTTCACACTGTAGGTAGAGGTTCTAAAAACATTTGCTTCAGTGAATTTTTATTATAGCGTTAGCGGTTTAGTAGATATGCACATTAAACGTATTAGAGGCGGGACCACGCTATTCTTACAAAATTTTAACTGCAGATGCCCTCCTAATGTGATCCTGTGTACCAAATAACAGTCTTGTATCTTATGCGGAGCTTATTATGGCAATTTATTTGTTTTGATTAATGGCGTTTTGTGGGCGTAGCAGTGGTCCGATTACGCCCATCTGCAATACCAACCGTCTCACGGTACCAAGAACATGTCTACCAAGTTTCATAAAGATATCCAATTTTTACTCAAGTTACAGCTTGCACGGACGGACAGACGGACGACGGAACGACATCACCCTGATTTCAACTCGTCTCTTCATCCTGATCATTTGTTATATATATAACCCTATATCTAACTCGATTAGTTTTAGGTGATACAAACAACCGTTAGGTGAACAAAACTATTATACTCTGTAGCAACAGGTTGCGAGAGTATAAAATGGTTTATTAACATCTCTTTGATTTTAGGACATTTATTGACTTTTGGTGGGTCAAGTATGGTGTTCTCAATAATATTACCCGTTGTAACGGCTGGGAAATTTCCGCGAATCTCAATGTGAAGAAGAGGGATTAATTAATAATGACATATAAAATCGTGTTTACAGATGTGGTACTGTACTCCAACAACGCATTGATATTGTAAAGTTTTAACGCTGCTACAAGATTGAGGTTATTTTGACAACTCGAACAGCTGTTTATGAAGTAAAATTGCGGTAATTTCATTATATTGTAACGGATTTCTCGATAAATCGTCTACCTGTAACTCACTCTTGAGTTCGATCACTGGATTGTAAATAAAGTCCCAGTTAATGGCTACCACTTATCTTTATTTCTAATTCCAACAACTTAACACTTATTGCTCATTATTCGAGCTTACAACTTCTTGCTTATAACTTAATTGCTCTTATCACGACAACACTCTAACTAGAACTGTGTTTGCTGCACAATCCGGCATCCCTTATATAGTAAATCTGTAACAAAACATTGCTTCTAGAACATTCTGGCCACTACGAATTCGCTAACTACTTTACTACTAGAACATTCTGGCAACTACGAATTCGCTGTCTAGTTGCTTCTGGCAATTTATCGTCGATTCGATTTTGTTCTATCATCCGTGTTCGTCACAATATGTATATGAATTTATTGCAGTATTTTCTGGATATTGCAATAACTGCAGACATATGGAAAAGTACCTTAAAATAGATACATTTGTACATTGTATAAGCCTAAGATTTATACAATGGGTATGACAAAAGTCCGTTACTTCAAAATCCACGAATAATTAGATGTTTTGTTGCAAAAGAGACATACTTAGTTCTCAGAGCCAAAAGTATAGGTATAAGTATTATCTCACCGTGTTGTTTGTAGGTAAAAACAGAAAAACAACATAATAAGTTGAAACCCACTGAAAAAGGAATATAAAACAATAAAAATTGAAGGAAATTTATTTATGGTTGATCTGAGTTCGGGAAGAGGAAGAGGACGAAGCAAGTGGAATTTTTAAGGACTAAAAACTAGGTTATAAACAGGTGCTACTACGAAATAACAGATAGATTAAATAAGACAAAGCAGCTTTGGGATCGTTTAGTGGGTTTCTTCCATTTTCTGCGAAAATTTGCTGTAGCAGTGTATATATTTTTATACCATCAGAAAGTAGACATTTGAACGAAGAAAAAGCCCACCGACTGTGTTAATCTGATATTTTGACGTGAGAATTTTCGGTTGGAAATTATTTTTTTTCACATTAAGTCAAACAAGAAAAAACTTTAACTTAAGAAGATTCCTTACAATAACTTGATTCCGATCTAATTTCGTGAAGATACCTTGTCAAATACAAAAGTTTTCTATGCAAGCACTTTACTCCGATCGTTCAATTAATATGGCAGCTATATGCTATAGTATTCCGATCTAAACAATTTCTTCGGCGATCACATTGTTGCCTTAGGAAATAACTTATGTTAACTTTCGTGAAGATATTACTTTAATTAAAAAAGTTTCCCATACAAGCACTATTTTACTTGCACTTGATTACGATTATTCAGTATATGCTATGGTGGTTCGATATCGGATTAGCCGATATCCGACAAATGAGTAGCTTCTTAGTGAGGAAAGGGCATGTACAAAATTTCAGATCAGATAGATCAGTCGGCATGTCAGTCTGTCCAGAATTTCAAAAGCCTAACCTAATCCTAGAGCCCATGTCTCGTAGAACTTGAAGCAAAGTCCAAGAAATAATAGCAAATGCAAATTATGTTACCCAAACGGACCTTATATCCTGCTAAGAACTATAAACTCAGCGGCATACCTAAAAATTCTGTCGGCAATGGTTTCTGTAGTGCAACAACAGTACAATTGCTATTTAACTTCTACCTATACAGGGACGAATTACTTCTGCCGAAACATCTTATTACTTGGCTATACCGTTATATGATATGACGTCGTCATAACATTTAAGTCCACATCTATAAAGGGTTAGAATGATCATTACATCAACCACATATGTTATTATATATGTTCAGCGATTAAATATATTTTTTTTTTATTTTGAAAATGGAGATACTTGTAGCTCAGATAACCCCAGCAATAATCTATAAATTATTTTCGCGGTGCACTTCGTACAGAGCAGTTGGAATGTGCAGTAGCAATTTCTTTTGATACGATTGATACGCTGCAGCGGAATTAAAACATAATCGTATTAAATATTTGGAACTGGGAAAAATGGAAGTATTAAAACATGCATATACGTACAAACACGAACGGCACTTCCTTGTAAAATTGTTATTTATCTTGGGTGCGACAGCACTGGTTTACGGGGCAGGATGATGGTTTTTCCGAGAACGTGGATGACAACGTTTACTCATGGTATATTTTGGATGTAACGCGAATATTACAAAAGGCCAAAAGTAATATTATTATTTCACCAAGCAATATAAAAGCACTACTGAAAACACCTCCGCTAGTGGACTTACGTTTTGGAAACGATGAAATAATGTTAGGACAAAACGTAATTTTCGCAGAATCAAAGGAAATTTTAATTAGACCGGAAAATTTAGAATTGTTTTATGATTGCGAAATTCAAGAGGCATCTTTCACTGATAAAAATCAGCTAATTACAACTATTAACAATTGGACTAAGAGCACAACGGATGAAAATGTGCTTAAATTAATTGAATCGAACTTAGAAAGAACTGACTTGCAAGTATTAATTTTAAATATGCTCAATTTTAAGGAAACTTTACATATCAATTTCAAGTACACACTAAATGTTACATTTCATGAAAGACCGGACAATACAATCGTATTACCGGCTGTAGAAACAACTGAATATTTGAGGTATCTTGACTCGCAAATTTTGGATGCCAAAATATTAGAATTACCTTATAGTAATGGTTATTTTATGTATATTCTTCTACCGCATACCAAACAAGGTGTTAACGATATGATCAATAATCTCGGCTACGAACAGCTTAAGCGTATCCAATGGATGATGGAAGAACGGGCGTGTGAATGTAGTAATGCCCACATTTAAATATCACTTCATGACAAACATGAGAGAGCATATTCAAAAGAACTCTGCACATCGGTTTGATATTGATTTTAAACCTACATTTGGCGTTGAAACGGAGAAAGTAAATATTTTGCAAGCAACATCCGTTCAGTTCAATGGAAGCGGAAAAGCTCGAGTGGAAGACTACAAAAAAACTCAAGCAATTAAATATGAAAGGTTTCATGTAGATCGACCTTTTGCTTTTTATATTGAAGAAAAGAACACAGGTCGGATTGTATGTATAGGCAAAGTTTTAAATCCAATGCTTTAAGAGCAGATTCTCATTTGTATGTTCTTATGTACCATAATGATATGTATGTATATATACATAAACATTTGTATTATAGACGAAGAAGTCGAATGCAAAATAAATTTTATAAAATAATATGTAACAAATTAGTTTTATTTATCAACAGTATTTTTAACTCAAAAAGTATTTAGTTTTATTTATCAACGGTATTCTTAACTCAAGAAGTATTTAATTTAGTTTTTGTTTCCAGGCCATCAGAGTATGAATGTGCATCTGTGGCTTAAAACTTTTTAGAAAGTGGACATGGCTGCCCACCAATTGGTTTAATACGGATTTCTCATTTCACTCTCAACACAATGAAAACCCCATATAACGGTGATACGGAAGGACTTCATAGGAGCTAGTGCAAAATCGGACAATGGTGACAGATAAAAAGCCGCCACTAGTAGCCTCTGCGACGCAGTAATCCAAGTTTTCAGGAATGCAGGTGAAAAAGGAGAGAATTTCGGCGTATGCATATTCATATGTCCAGCTTCCATCAGGCTTAGAGCTCACTTGGCAGCAATGTATCTGCCGACAATATCCACGGGTGTTACGTGTAAAATGGCATTATGGTAAGTGCCATTGTTGGTGTAGTCCGAGGTGCACCGGGGATGCCTTTTTTTTTTTTGGGAGGGGGAATCTTCAGTTTTAGCTGCGCTGGCATTCTAGAACTATAGCACACCACGCTCTCACTCTATTCCACACTAGTTTCGATTCAGTCATAAGCCGGAGATGCTTATGGAAGCCGCTCTTGCCTAATGCCACAGGATTATCTTTCGGATAAATAAAATTCATGTCAATCGAATAATCTGTCGTTGTTTTATTGCAATTTAAAGTTCTATTCCTCTAAAAAAAAACACCCTTTACATTCGGACGTGCTTGGTCCAATTAGCACAAAATCGTTCAGCGGCGCTAGATTTTTGTTGGATATTGCGTTTTATCAAAAGCATATCGTTTTTACCAAAAATCTGACAACAAGTTTCTTGTGAGTCGTGATATTACATTTTTAGAAAATATCAGCTGTAAATCCAAGCGCACAGAGCCAAATCTAATGGTTGACATTATTAATGAAAAACAAGTAAGGAAGGGCTAAGTTCGGATGTAACCGAACATTTTATACTCTCGCAAAGTCAAATAGTATACTCGTTTGAGATTTCTTTGTGGATTGACTGATATTTTCGGTAGAAGGTCAACTATAAGCACTGGGGTCCACATATTTAGTACTTAGGGGCTTGAACAGTTTTGGTTCAATTTAGAAAATTTTTGATCACAAGGCATACTTTAAACGTATTATTCACGCAAAGTTTTACCCCGATATAATCACTGTTGCTTGATATGCGTAGTGGAAAGTGAAAGAATTAGATGGAATTGAAAAGGATGTTATATGGGAAATAGGCGTGGTTGTAGTCCGATTTCGCCCATTTTCGTACTATGACATAGAAATATAAAAAGAACGTTATGCACCGAATTTGGTTGAAATCGGTTAAGCAGATCCCAAGATATGGGTTTTCACCTAAAAGTGGGCTATGCCACGCCCACTGTCTAATTTTGAACGCGGTTCCTATAAGGTCATCTCATACCATCCCAGAGATAAAATTTAATGTCTCTGGCGTGTTTAGTGCTTGATTTATTGCGCCTTTAGTAGTTTTTAACAGTACTGTTATATGGGGAGTGGGCGGAGTTGCCAACCGATTTCAACTATTTTCACACTGTAGGTTGAGGTTCTAAAAACATTTGCTTTAGCGGTTTGGGAGGTATGCATATTAAACTTATTAGCGGCGGGACCACAATTTTTACTGCAGATGCCCCTCCCTAATGTGATCCTGTGTACCAAATAACAGTCTTGTATCGTATTGCGGAGCTTATTTATTTGTTTTTGATTAATGGCGTTTTGTGGGCGTGGTAGTGGTCCGGTTACGCCCATCTGCAATACCGAATGTCTTACGGTACCATGAAACATGTGTACCAAGTTTCATAAAGATATCTCAATTTTTACTCAAGTTAGAGCTTGCACGGACGGACAGAAAGTCACCCGGATTTCAACTCGTCTCTTCATCGTGATTATTCATATATATATAACCCTATATCTAACTCGATTAGTTTTAGGTGATACGAACAACCGTTAGGTGAACAAAACTATTATACTCTGTAGCAACAGGTTGCGAGAGTATAAAAAGCTAACGACATGGGGAGGTGAATGAGAATGAATTGTCTGATGTCACAAATCTCCGGAAACTGAGTACGATACTCCTGATGAAAGCGAAGCCTAGTGATCAGCGTAACAACAAGTGCAGTTCGTCGATCGGAGCGTATTGCAAACAAGACAAAACAAGGAAGTTTGTTGTTAAGCGTAGTGTCTGATGCTGATGATCCTGTTAGTCTTGAATACGCATTTAATAGTCCAAAAACAGGTGACTGGAAACGCGCAATGGAAGAGGAGATAGATTCTTACAAATCAAACGCAACTTAGGTGCTTACGAAATTGCTTGAAGGTAAAAGAGCAATAAATTCGAAGTGGGTTTTGAAAACTTAGCGCAATGCTGAAGGTATGCTTGTTCGTTATAAAGCATGTGGACATAAAGGCGAAATTTATACGAGAGAAGATGCAAGTTAAGTCATTACAGCTAGGATATATTTCTACAAGCGAAATGTTAGCAAATTGTTTAACAAAGGCGATACCTGCTGTTAAGAATGAATTTATTATTATTAAATTAGGCTTAAAGTAGTCATGTAACATTTAACATATTTTGAATTTAAGCCAACATACTTTTAGTGTTGTTAGATGTTCTATTAATAAATAAATCTTGCATCACTAAATTTAATTTTCTTTTTGCACTGTTCTTACGAGTATGTACATATATTATATTCAATAAAGTCAGTCGCCATCTTACATTGAAACTGCGTGTACATATCTCTGGTCAACATAACGATCAGTTCAGCTCGTATTGACTGTGAGAATCTTCTCTATGAAAATTTCTCTTTAATGGAATGCCGACAATTTAATAGTGTTCAAATCGATAATAATAACCTTCTTGATCTCTGTTTTAGTAACCTGAACATTCATGTAGAGCACAAGTAGGCAATTACTACAATGGACTTGTACCATCCTGCCCTTGATATCACTATGGAGCTCCAGCTAGTAACTTTGCAATTCTTTGACTTCAACAAAGCTGAATACCTTAACGCCTATTATCTAAACACTGATTCATCACTTTCCCTGGATAGCAAAATCAAAGTCTTCTAAGACATAATTAAGGTAGTTTCTCAACTTATGATTCATTTCGTACACAAAAAACCAGTAATTTTCCTTACTAGTTTGCTAACGAATTAAATCATAAAACATTACACAGGAAGGAAGCTCATTTCTCTTATAAGAAAAACAATACCAAACAGAATTACATTGAATTGAGCGAACTTAGGCGAGAATGTAAAAAGCTCAATATTCAATTTTACAAGAACTATATAGACAAAGTTGAACAGCAGGTTCTGGATGACACAAGTGCATTTTGGAAATTTGTCAAACACAAAAGAAGTAGCAATAGTGATGTCCCGTCCACTATGTAGTGGAAAAATCAGACGGCTGACTATGGCATCGAGATTAGCGATATGTTTGCATTCTTCTTCAAGAGTGTTAACCTGCGCCGATTGCTGTCATTAGTGAGTTTGAGGTTAGCATCAACGACGTCTACAAAACACTGTTATCTCTAAATACAAGGGAAGGCTTCTTCTTCAAAAATTGTGCTATCTGCCTCAGTGAACATCTCACACACTAATTCAGTTTTTCATTACAAAATAGTACATACTGCTTAGAAATCTTCCTACGTCTGTCCTATTCACAAGGGTAGCCAGAGATCTGATGTCTTTAACGACAAGTATAAGCCAATTTGAATCTTTGAAAAGACAGTTTTTCCTCAACTCACTGCATACTTTAAAAACCGGCCAAGCAGCTCATACCGTCTACGGGGACTTCCGCAAAGCATTCGATAGTGTGGACCATAGTATTCTTCTAAATAAATTAAGGAGATACGGAATTCGAGGTAACGCACTAAGTTGGATCCACTCATTCCTAATGCGAAGGAAATTTCAAGTTAAAGTTGATGGGCATCTATCTACCAAGCACGATGTGACCTCAGGGGTGCCCCAAGGATCACAACTAGGTCAAACTCTCTTTAATTATTTTGTAAACGATATTATTGATAACTTTCAGTCCGAATATCTGCTTTATGCAGGCGATTTGAAGATCTTTAGAACGATACCTAGTAAACAAGATACCCATGATCTCCAGAGTGATATCGACAAACTGTCGACCTGATACCACAAAAACAAACTAGATTAGAACATCAAAAAGTGTGTAGCCGTATCATACTCACGGTCACACTCTCGAACGCCAGCTAACTATAATCAAAACAACGAGACAATAAGCGAGGTTGAGCACGAAAAGAACCTGGGAATTGTCATAGATATCAAACTGACATTCAACAAGCATATTGATAAGATCACTCTCCAGGCTTTCAAAGTCTCAGGTTTTATAACTAGGACTAGCAAGGAGTTCACGAATCACAACTCATTACTACGTCTTTTTTATCTCTGACTCTTCCAGTTTTAGAATACGGCACTGTAATTTAGTCTCCTTTTACCGACATCAGAATAAAACGTATCGAGAAACTATCAAACATATCCCCATAAATGACATCTACGACTATTTTAATGTCAATAACCTGCTCTCGTCAGGTAGCTGACTTAATATTTTTCTTTGATCAATAAGATAGCATTAGCATTCACCTACACTCCTGGGTCCAAAATATGAGCCAAAACAACAAAACAAATATTATAATATTAAACTTAGGCTGGCTCCAGGAAAGCAGTCGGTACCAAACCCTGTAGCCTAAGCATGGCTGCTAAGTAGATGGAGGAAGGAGATGAGAACCCAACGAAGGCACTGTATGTGGAGAAGCGAGATGGCTGCAACTGCCACATGCACAGATGCCGCAGGTATCAGACCCAAATAAAGATGATAGCGTGTAATGACGAACAATCAGACCAGCTATACAAGGCCGCAATAGCCAAGGTTGGGGAGGTCATCCCGACCAAGACCAAGGGTATG